AAAACACTCTAAAACTCACCAAATTTCGTTGCCAAGCTGAATTTCCGGAGTATCAGTCGAATCTGTATCTGTATCTGACTGATACTCCGGAAATTCAGCTTGGCAACGAAATTTGGTGAGTTTTAGAGTGTTTTGTTTATTTAATTATATATAACGTTTCAATCCAAGAGAAACTTCAAGTTTTTATCAGCATATGTAAAAATTCTTCAGTCACTACGTGTTCTACCTCGTAAGTCGGTTTGCGGAGCGAATGGTGCAAAATAAAGTAAGTGAAAGATAAACAAGCATAAAGTAAAATAAAATTACGAGTTGTAATCAGGATCCGATCCTTGGACCTTCCGCCTGCGAGGCGAGCGCGCTACCGTTTGGCCATGCGGCACTGATAAGGATGCAGAGCCTCTGTCACCTACGTTTACCTTGTGCCGCTAGCGGACGCGTTTTTTTCGCATCTTTAGCCCTTTTTTTGAGGGCTTTCCCGACCCCATTCGAAAAAACGAAAAAATACGGCATCCTTAAAATCATCTCTAGTATCTTCATGCGAAATTTCAACTCGAAATTCCGGTTACACTTGGGAAGCTCCCCTTGTCAGTCCAAATGGGCTCTGAGGCGAGAGAGAAAATCCTGCGACGCGGGACTGCACCGGGTACCAAACCTGAGAGTGCGAGGGGAACGGGCGGGGCGAGGCAATGATGAAGGGGCAAGGGAAGGGTTAAGAGAGAGAGGGGTGGCGAGGCACCGGCGCGGCGCGGGGGAGAGCTGAGAGGGTTTGGATCGCGCTCGCGATGTAAACGTAGCAGAGAGAAAAGGAAGGGGAGAGAGAACGGGAGAGGAGAGCCGCTCATCCGTCCAGAGCTGTTTCTACAGGTGCCTGCATTCCTGCAAACCGCCCGATTTCCGGCCTCCATGCCGATTCGTCCTCCGCTTCCGCCCCTGCGCCTGCGGCAGCGCGCGGGGCGGGCCGCATCTCTCAGTTCCAGTTCCGCATTCTCCCATTTCTTCCTGCAGGTGCGTGTTGCGAAATTACGCGATCATTTAAGGGCGATTTCTTAATAAAAGGAATAGTCGTGTCGCCGTGGGTTATAAACGACTTGAAGTCAAACTGTTGAAAAGCAAGCTGATAAATCAATAGGAATTATGTCCCTGAATTATCCATGCTAAACAATATGATAAATTATGATTGTATTTAATAATATGAAACTTTAAAGGCCGAAAAAGTCCGGTCGGTTACGCGTCGCCAACCCCGACTTTGAAGCAAAAGAGCAATTTGCGTTAGTAAGTCATTGTTGATCATGGATTCTTTGGCAATATATGCTGAAAGGAGACTCTAATGTTCAAGAGAATTATCATGTTGAACTGAGATGTTTATTTTTAAGCGAGGAAAGTAGGAAAGTCACTAGAAAGAATGTCGCGCCACATTTGGCAACGTATTTTTGCAGTTGTATTAGGTGCAGTGTTTATCGCGCCAGATGAAAACCTGGAGTTTAAAAACTGCATGCCATCAAATTGTTCGCTGATCAAGCTGATGAAGTCCTCTTGACTAAACCATTACTAATAAGTCGGCTTTTTTTATTCTGAAAACTTTAATTTTCATGAAAACCAGCTAGTGATTTTTAGGTAGGTAGCGCTAATTATACACCACACAAAATCCTTAATCTAGTATCATTAAACTAACAGGAAATCCTAAAAGTTTAGAAAACCTTTATGGCAACATAAGATTCCACCTCATATCTCAAGAATTGCCAAGTTTCATCTTTTGTATCATTTTTTATCTCTCATTTTCAAGTGTCGGTATCACGCTGTGTCGGTTACGTAACCGACACAATTTGGCAGTGCCGCCTGGTTTGTCTGAACCTCCAGTCCCGCGGGAGGAGCTGATAGCTGTGATCCAATGGCTTGTTTGCCAATTACTATAACTTTGTACTGAATCAACATAGTCGCCCAAGCTGTAAAAAGGAAGTTTAATACATTTAAAATGAGGTAATGAAATTTGTTTAAAATTGGTGCACTTTTCTTTTTAAGGTATTTGACATTTTAGCTATTCCCGTGAGCTATTATCGTGAACACACCCTTAACTAAATAAATTACAGGAAAACGACCAGTAAAAAAAAAAAAAAAAATACAACGCGCCAATTTATTGGCACAATTTTCATCAGAAATAGGGTTAAAATAGTATTCTTGCGGCTTCATTTTTTAAAAAATTTTCCAGGGGAGTCCCCGCGATCACACTATGATGGAGGGGGGGGGGGTGAACCCTTCTGACCCCCCTCCCCCAAAGTTAGCACTCCTACCGAACGCTTACCGCATAGTCACGCCAGGCCACTGTTTCTGACGCTTTTAGGACTACTCGTTCTCCGAGGAAAACCGATTTTTCCGGCAAAATGAGTGGTGATAGTGAAAATCAAAGGTCGCATCAGTGGCGTGCGGTGGGTTTAGTAACAGGGCAAGCTCTAGCGTTCGCCATCCGGGGGGGNTCTCCTTAGGGAACCTCCCTAGAAAATTGTTGCAATTTTACGGTATTTGCTCTATTTTTCGGATGAAATCTGATGGAACGTCTTAAAAAACTGTGGTTATTTATTACTTTCTCTCTTACTTATGATTTCGTTTACTCAACTTGTTTCGAATGTTATTGAGCATTAGAGGACGGCTTCATCCGCTTCATGCTCTTAACTCCTAATTTTGCCACTTATTTGAGGTATTGTAGTCTTAATTCTACATTATTTAGAATTTTTTGAGTTTAAAATTAGAAATTAGAAAAATAAGTTAGAAAATTAGAATTTTCTGCGTTTAAAACATATGATTGAGAATTTGCTAATTCATCACTAATTAGATCAAGTGAGCGAAATTTTATAGAATTTAAGGGCATTTGCGCCGAAGGAGCAATTACAACCGCGACGGAAAGAGGGAGCAAGATAGCGCATCGGAGGTGGAAGCAGCGTGCTGCGGTGATCATCATGCGCTGGAGAATCGCTTGCGATCAGCTGGAGCGCCGGAATCAAGGCGGGCGGGTAGAGCGGTACGTTCCGAGTCCGAGCCCTTCGCTCTGCGCGATCGCAGCTCGCTTCTCTTGGCCATCTCTTGGTCTTGGCCATCTCTTGGCCCAGCTCTTGGCCCGTCATCGAGTCGGCCCGTGTTTGGTTCAGGCCGCGCAGCGCGCTTCGCCACCTCCATCCGCTTTGCTGCTTTCCTATACTTTAGTGGCACTATACGTATTTCTGTTTAAGGTGATTCGATGGACGCCATATTTTGTGTCAGAACGGCATGCGATATATCGCATCAATTGGTTCCATATTTTCAGCTACTCGTCATTTTTCTCCTATTTTGAGATCGCACTTCTGTTGTCACGAGTCTGAAGCACTCACTTACCAATTTTAACAAAGAAATTCAACGTAATAAAGGCGTGGTTTTTTCAGAGAGAAAATATCGCATTCGAGTGCAGTTTCGATATTAGTATCGAATGCGATATTTTCTCTCTGAAAAAACCACGCCTTTATTACGTTGAATGTCTTTGTTAAAATTGGTAAGTGAGTGCTTTAGACTCCTGACAACAGAAGTGCGATCTCAAAATAGGAGAAAAATGACGTGTAGCTGAAAATATGGAACCAATTGATGCGATATATCGCATGCCGTTCTGACACAAAATATGGCGTCCATCGAATCACCTTAATGCAATTTACATACTGAACACTTTTTATTATAAATTATATTTTCAATAATGTAAAACATGCATGTAACAGGTGTAATTTTCTTCTTTCTTTTGAAATCTTTGGGCAAGCAGTGCTTGCCTTGCTTATGCGTTGCTTATTGCTTATGCCAGATCGTTCAATTAATTTTAATTTATTGAATCATTAGCCGTTAAAACTGTCATCCTCTCTGCTCATTTAGAAGTATTTCATCAATTCGAGACGAAGCTTTAACCCCAGGGCCAACGAGAATCAAGGAGAAGCCATGGGAAGTGCGAAGGAACCGAAATTCAGAGTGGATCTTTACAGGTACGAGTCGTTTTTCTTGCATGTATTCCTTTCCATCGCCTCTCCCATTTTTTCGAAAATTTAGTGTAATGAACCGATAGGAAATTGTACGGCCGTTATTTTGGGTCCTATGACATTTTCCTCCAAGATTGAAAGTTTGAAAGTAAAATGAGGAGAAAAGGTCGCTGATCATAAGAATTTTTGCCTGCGCCCTTTTTAAAACCCTTATTTTTGGTCACGAAAATTATTTTTTCGAAAATTTTGTGTAATGAACCGATAGGAAATTTTACGGCCGTTATTTCGGGTCCAGTGACATTTTCCTCTAAGATTGAAAGTTTAAAAGTAAAATGAGGAGAAAGGTCGCTGATTATAAGAATTTTTGCCTGCGCCCTTTTTAAAACCCTTATCTTTGGTCACGAAAATTACTTTTTCGAAAATTTTGTGTAATGAACCGATAGGAAATTTTACGGCCGTTATTTCGGGTCCAATGATATTTTCCTCTAAGATTGAAAGTTTAAAAGTAAAATGAGGAGAAAGGTCGCTGATCATAAGAATTTTTGCGTGCGCCCTTTTTAAAACCCTTATCTTTGGTCACGAAAATTACTTTTTCGAAAATTTTGTGTAATGAACCGATAGGAAATTTTACGGTCGTTATTTCGGGTCCTATGACATTTTCCTCTAAGATTGAAAGTTTTAAAGTAAAATGAGGAGAAAGGTCGCTGATCGTAAGAATTCTAGCCGCGGCCTGTCTCCACCCTGAGCCGGTGCGAGAAGAACGGAGTTCAGTGGTTGAGGCGGTTTTCTTGCCAAACTTCTTGAACGATCGACTATAGCTGTGTCCCCGTAAGAAGCTATGGTAAAGAATCGATAGTGCGATACTCGAACAGTCGCATTCGATACGATATTCGATATTCGTCCAGCTGAAGTGGGGGATTCAAAATGGCTGCCTTGCATGATGCATGACCTCTCCCGCGCAACCACGGCCGGTGCCCAAATTCCGGTTCGCTGAATTACATAATTTTAATTTATCTAATTATTAGCCGTTTAAACTGTCATCTTCTTTGCTCCTTTAGAAGTATTTCATCAATTCGAGACGAAGATTTAACCGCAGGGCCAACGAAAATCAAGAAGAAGCCATGGGAAGTGCGGAGAAACCGAAATTCTGAGTGGATCTTTAAGTGTAGGTATGAGTGTATGAGTCGTTTTTCTGGTATTGCTTTCAATCGCCTCCATTTCAACTAAATCGAGGAAGCTTATACTACTGATTCCTCTTTGAGATTGTAGTGATGTTCCCATAACTTACGATGTTACAACACAACAGAATTGTCACAAGACTCCAGTGACGGAACATGTCTTTTTGTCTGTCGCTGGACTTGTCTTTGAGACTCCACTATGGACCAAGATGTATCTCTTTATCTCCTCTTATCTTATCTAGTCAATCAATGAATGCAAACCGGTTCTTGAAACTCTGTTGGTACGCCAGGACAAGATGAGGAATGTGTGAGCTTTGCGCTTGGAAGACCTTGATCCCCTTGGCCTGGGCATGCCGACAAGAATTTCAACGATCGATTCCTGTGTGTGAGACCGAAGCTAACATTAAAGAAGGAACCTCTGAGCATAGTGAAGAGTGTTTTACAGGTTTTGTTTCTCAATCCCCTGCAAATAGCAAGAACTGTGAATACTGTTGCTACACCCAATCACCCTAGTTCGGACTTAATTGCCAGGTATTTCCTGCCTGAATTTCCTCCTCAAGAATTGTAACTTCCTCATTCCCCATATGTCCTGTAACTCTCTCCTTCTTTCTTTTTCATGTCGTTTAATCTCTGAAGGAAAGAGTTAGTTTGTCTGCATGTAGTCATGCTGTGATAATGAGGCCAATTTCATCATTTTGAAAGCTCCCCTAGACCTTCCTGCGAATTGACAGGTTAGCCACTGTTTCACCTGATCGTTTCTCTTTCTTTATTCAATGGGCCAGTTGCGTTGGTAACAGAATTATGTTTTGATGCTTGGTTCTAGTAGATTAGCTCTAAATAAGTAGATCCATCCCAACAGCAACTCTCCGCCGGATTAGGGCCGGGCGGGGAAGTGGCTTTTAAAAGATGCGCAATGACTGACCTGTGTGGATTGGTCTTGTTTCCATTGTTTCAACTCTAATTTTTTCTTAAATACCTGTTTACTCTGCACTCTAGAGGTGTTGTCAGCTAAGTTGGAACTTGTTTACATTCCACTTGCAAGCAATTGCGACGCTATTGTCCAACATCAATAGGGGATTGACGGCAGCACAGTCAATCCTCGATTCCTGTTAGACGACTACATTATAGTTGCTTGCAAACGATGTGTATTCAAGTGCTAACTTAGCTGACGACACCTCTACCTCAAGTTAGCAGTATTACTTCTGATAGTTTTACACAAGTTTGTCCTACCTCTTGAAGGCATATAGTTATTTGACCAATTTCATCTACTCTCCACCATCAACCTTCTCTGGTATTGACTCGTGCAACACTCATGAATCTCTATTCTCGGTTCACAGTGTACTCTCCGTTTTAATTGACAGGAGTGGGTATGTAGAGACCTTAAATTAATTCAACAAGAACTAAAGCATTTTGCCTTATACTTTGTATCTTTGTAAAATTTATTTGAGAAGAGTTAAACTCCTGTTTGAGCTAACAACTTCAGTGTTAATCTTACTGTATCACTCTCCGCACCGTACGACTGGCTAAATGATCTGCTATAGTCTGTTTACACAAGTAAAAGTAGTCAGCAAGAAATCAATTAGTCTCTTAGTGAGTGGTATTATTTTTGGAAGGTTGCTTTTGCAACAATTAAAAACCTGCTCTTCATATTGCAGGTACTTGAATAAAAGAAGCCCAAAGAATTTTGTTGCCCTCTTTCTAATGTAGATTCCTCCTTTTTACAGATTTAAAAACATATCAAAATGGCGCTAGAGCCACTGGATATCTCTGAGCATGATCGTTGCTCTTCAAAGCAACCAATTTATCCAAACTGGCCTCCATAGATTTGTCGCAGGTATGTGTTATAAATATTTTTCATCAAGTAAAATCATTTTGTCAGTCAATGAGAACTGGAATAATTTTGTAGGACAAACAGCTCATATTTTTTCTGTTCTTTTTTTCTTAAATTTTAGTTCAAAACCTGTCAATAAAGATCTCTCCTAAATTGTTGCAGGCTCAAGAAATTAATTTCAAATTCTGAGTATTGCATTAGAAAACTGGTTTTCTCAGTTGATATGAAGTGTGCTCTATTATAATTAATAATTAACATTTTCTGTATTTTAAAATCCAGGAGGACAGGTCAAGAGTTGAAATATTTGCTGAGTATTGTTCTAAGAAGCGAGAACCTGTTTGCGGTCAGTTTTTGAACTTGTTAAATGGATCTGATGGATTCATTGTGAATATGTCTGCCAGAATAATCGCCAAGATTGCCTGTTGAAACCCATCTGCCAATTTACTTGACAGCTCTGATTTCACTTTTACCTGAATTGGTTGAATGGACAAGTATAATTAAATGTAAGTTAAATGGATCAATGATCTTCTGCTATATTTTACTTTTAATTAATTTAGTAATGCATCTGTTGTCCTCAAAATTCTGTTTCTGCAGATGCAAAAAGTTCTTAAGCATCTTGTCTTCGCCACATGATCCGGCGGTCTCTACATTTTAGCAAAATTTTCAATGAGAAAAGAGAGAGAAAAAAAAGACATCACTTTTTAAAATTGCATCCCTTGATGCTGATTGTTGGTGATTGCTTATTTCCTGCGATTGCTAATTTCCTACGATATAACATAAAATAAATAAAGAGCTAGGTCGAAAAATGGTGTGGGGGAGCGCAGGTCATTCTTCTGGAAAACTGATGTTCCCATACAGCATACCATGAGGCACTACTGCACCAAATTTCATGACTGTATTTCAAAATTTGAGCAAGTCACAGGATTTTTTTTTTTGTTGCAAGGTTACGATTCTGTGACAATAAGCATCTAGGTCATGACTGTTATCTGTCAAAATTTCTGTACAAATTCTCCACATAGCTAAAAATTGGCGGTATTTTAAGGTTTTTTTCAATGCACGACCCCATTATAGCTGAGGAAGAGACATTTTTCACAAGCAGCGATGGTGAAAGTGAATGTGAGGCTGAAGATTCATGATGTCTCGATTGATGAACTCAGTGGAGCTGGCCCCTCTTAATTTTGTCCCCTATTCTCCTAGACATGTACTGAGGTGGCTTATAAACTTTTTCAACATGAATATGGTTTTTTTTTTTTTTTTTAACAAAAAATAATCTTCTATTAGTTCCCTTTCCTTGATAGCCTGTAGTTCTCTTGAAAAACGACGTCCGTAGCGTTTTTGTAAATCTCACTTTAAATATGTCAAATATTGTTTTTCGGTAAATGCAATGGTACAAACCTCTAAATGAGGGTTTGATCTGTCATTTTTGTTAAACCCATGATCTCAAAACCCTCAGTATATAGCCAGTAATCATTAGAGTACCTGTACAGCAAGAGTATAGAATAAGCTGTGAACCTCCGAAAATCCATCAGGCCTCTTGGATGCCTGAGCTAACAAAGTCATGGCCCAAAAGGGCAGCCAACCTATGAATTAAATATATCCAGAACGATTTATTTTTATAATTGTCACAACCTGTTGTTTGCATTAAACGTATTTGACATAGTTTTTGCATAAATTTACCAATTTTTGCCGAAGAACGCACATTTATGAACATTCTTTGCCATCTTGGTTTGAATTGTAATCTGAAAAGTGGCAGTGAAATGTTGTGTGTCAAAGAGCCGGCTACCCTTTTGGGCCTTAAGCCTTCCATGAAGCAAGCTGTCCTTTACTCTCGCTGTACAGGTACTCTAGTAATCATGTCTTAAACTATTCATCCTTCGTTCTCTCTAACCGCTATTTTCTGACTCCTCCATTTTTCACCTAAAGCCTCAAATGTGATGATCTGGAAAAGTGTGACTTTCAAGGTAAACTCTTCAAACGAAAGTAAATGAGTGAATCTGCTGAAAAAGTCACCTTTTAAAATTTGAACTTGCATCAAAAAATCCAATCTCTTCCTGAAACAGATAGAACCTTTCTTAAACTTCTTTATCCACACTTTCCTCCTCTAAGTATGCCCTAGTTACTATCCACTTAACTGTGGGCCTCAGTTCAATCTTGATCTGACATCTTCAGGATGCGTTTACTGATTTCATTGAATTTGTTATCTTTTTTAAAGGAGAGGACTTCTTTTTGTCGGGAGATGCTTGCAAGTAGTTCTTCGTCACGATAAATATCGTTTGGCTTTCATCAAAGTTGAAGAGCCTCCAACATGGTTGAAAGTCCTTGCCTCTGGACAAGTAAATTTCCAAATTCAGTACCAACTTATATTCTGTCTTTGGTTACTGACTTTCAACCCTAAATTTGCTCAAAAAATGAACAGGTGAGTATGAACAAATAAGTCTAAGAGTGTTAATGGGCCTGTTGCAAACTTTTGCTAGAGCAAAACTAAGAGTTGTTTCCTACAGATAATGCCTAAAAAATCACGATGAGCGCATCGGCAAAGTCTGAAATGCACTCATAACTTCACAATCTGCGTAAGAAATTTGCGGTTTTTTGAGCTTCCCGCTTCGAAAACGATACTACGGTACAGGTGAACATT